AATATCCTCATGATCAAATATTTCCAATAACTATAATACACAAAATAATTTTTTAATTCGAAAAATACTCTATAAAGAAATATTAAATTGTGTACTAGGAATCCACCCTAATCCTCTAACAATAATTACACACAAACTACCCACTTATAACTACTCATGGTAAATTCAATTATTACCCAATATAAATAGAAATCTCTCAGTGGAAAATATCCTTATGATCAAATATTTCCAATAATTATAATGCACAAAACAATTTTTTAATTCGAAAAGTATTCCATAAAGAAATATTAGATCGTGCATTAAGAATTCACCCTAATCCTCTAACAATAATTACACACAAACTACCCTCTCATTGCTCACGATAAATCCAATAAATCGTTCAATACGAATAACACTCGATCCACGAAAGACATCCCCGTATCGTAAACCAAGCCCATCAAACATCTTCGAGACCCATCTGAACCACCCTTTTCCTGGCTAAACCAAAGATACCCCGTAGATTGGTAGAATCGAGAACGATGCGACGAGTAACGTGGAAGTGAAAAGGGACACCGGCATAGAGCGGGATAGCATCGACGAAGGGGTGGCCGCAATCGCAATAAAACGATGGAAATATTGGAATCGGCGCAATATGATTCCGCGACGGATCGCGAAATGAAACGAAACAATGTTTGCGTTGCGCGGAGCGTCGGACGTTTCTCTCTTCCTCCCTCTATCAACCCCTTTCCCTGGCCCTTTCTCCACCCCCGTCGTCCCTGGCTCACCTCTTCTCGGTCGCTCTCGCTGCCGCTTTCACCCCGGCTGGGAATCGAGGATTTGTTAATATCGAGCGCCTAGCTAGTACCGTGCCAAAATGGCCGACGTTTAGTCGACCCTTAGTTCCGATTTAACTGGACGCCCAATCGCGCCGTTCGCGACGCCGCGATCGCGAAACGCACCCCTCGACGCGATAATACGCTTCGATTTGTCGTTTCTCCGAAGATCGGGATTATTGCTAGGATCGTGGTCGGGAAGCTGAAAGTTGTTGAGGATTTAGGGCTTGATTTGCCTGCGAGAGTGAATGGCGGTCGAGGGTGCAGAGTTGAGCACAGTTTGTTATCATTTTGGCACCGTTTGGGTGGGAGTATGCAAGTATTGGGGATGGAGTAGTTGATCGGGTTGTTCAGTGGCGATCAGAAGCGATTTTCGAGAGGGTGTCGATAATTTTCTATGAGTTTTCCCTCTTTGAAAATTTTTTAAGATTTTTCTTCGCCTGATTTTGGAAATTAGAAATCCTGGTATGGTACTAATGTAACGATATACAATGATGGTTACAATTTTGATTATTTTGTTAATAGTCAGTATCGTTTATTGTTACGTTTTATAGTTCTCGTTACGATGAAAATTATACATGGTGATTATATTTTATTCTGTAAAATTTTGGAATTGTAATAAATTGTAAATTTTGTTTTCACGAATGAGAGGCATCTGAGTATTTGGAATTGGATCGTAGCTCATGTGATGGTACTGTAGTACCAGATAAAGAAGCTTTGTTAATTAATAAACGATTTATTGAGGAAAAATTGCCAACGGAATAATTAATATTCCATTAAATGTTTAATATTCATGAAAGTTACATTTTCGCTGGATTTTTATTTTATATCAGTTGTGAGAGATAAAATCATTCCTATAAGTACTCTGTTATTTCGCGAATTGATAATTTAATTAAATAATATAGAATATTTAATTGGTTTGCGATATCACGGCCAAGTGAATATGCAAGTTGGTGGTTATTTTTAAACACAGCAGAACGAGCTAATGAAACATAATGTTAATGAATAATCAACTCGCAGAAAATTCATTTCCCGCTATATTTTAATGGAAGTCTATTCGTTCCGAAGGTTAAATCGACGATAAATCATTAATTTTAGAACGAACAATTTTAATTAAAAAGAGGAAGTATTTCCTAAAAAAATATTTATTTATTTTTTATATTTATTTTTCCTAAGAAAAGGAACATTTTTGTTATATAGACACTATGTCTACCCAAAAAATTGTCAGCTCTCATATAAAACTCTGAAAAATATTAAACGAATTGAAGAGTCGGTATCCAACATCTTCCAGATTTTCAAAAGCACCGATCGATCACAAAATTGCGACAAAATTCCTAAAAATGACTGAAGTATCGCGAATTTTCCGACCACACTGTACATGTTCGTATCGATGCCGGTTAAACAGTTGACTGTGTTAAACCAGCGCTTAAACAAGTAAACGTGCGAAACATCACCTAATCGCGACGCGAGCAGTTGACAGGCGTGCGTTTCGTGGTCGTGGAATTAAGTCGAAATTAATTAAATCGTCCATTGCGACGAACGTGTCTGATTTCGTCGCGATAACGATCAACGGGACGTGGATCGAACGTGAAAGATGTGCTCGAATTCGACCACTGTGTTGCTGAAGAAACGGGAGAGAACGCAGAACTGGATACCAGAAGAGAAGAACGCTTTGTTCTCGCTGATCAAGGCACATGTTAACGCGATTGAGAACAAGAAGATCGACGCTGCTGCTTCCGCCATGAAGACTTCTGCTTGGCAACAGATCTACTGCGCCTTCCGCGGAAGATTCTCCACGGATAGGGATATCACTAGGATGAGAGAGCAATGGCGGAGGATGAAGGCCCAAGCCAGGATGGAGATGTACACTTTTGCGGAGAAGGTTAATCGATTGTCGCGTTTCACTAGCTTTTTCCTCCGGTCAGAATCGATTTAGAAATCGATTTAAAAATTTGGAAATGTTCAATTCAAGTACTAAATACGATTACATACATAAATACGTACATACGATAACATACATAACGTACAAATAATATATAATACAATATATATGTTTGTACATTGTAAATAATAATTATAATAATCAATAATATAATTATAATAATATATATGTTTAGTATATATACTAAATATACTAAACATATATAATAATATAACATACAATACGATAACATACATAAATGGTAATAATTAAATGGCGAAAATAACTAGGTATATATAAATATCAAAATAAATATTGATATTAATCTTGTCGAACACAAAATCGAAGTTTATAGTAAGTACAAAAACAAGTCTGAAATTAATCATTTTGAATATAAATTGGCAATTCTGGTCATTAGTGGAAAATTCTTTAATTTCTGTCTTAAATTGTTCATCGATTGACAAGGTGTAAATTTCTGATATTTATTTAATTATTTAAAGAAAATATTTTACTGCTATAATTGTTATATTATTTATTCTTGAATAACTATAATAAAGGCTGCAGGTTCGAAAATAAATTTATATAAAAAAGGAATGAAAGTTCTATGTAAAATATAATCTAACGTTAAAGTATAGGGAGAAAAGACATAAAATTGTTTATTCCCTAGATAAAATGACTTAATCAGAATTAATACGCGAGAAGGGAAACACTCATTTTCCGTTTACGTTCGAAACATACATAAAAATCAGTACCTGAGAGAAGCAATTTCAGCTTTTAATTACTTCCATAAAAGTAAAACGAAGAACGATAAAAATTAGGTGAAGACTCTGGGCCCGGAAGAGGCGGCCAAATGTCGTCCATCGAATCTTTCCATCGAGGTATGGAGATTGATGGAAAAAGCGAGGAAAAACGATGGCGACGAGGATCGTTCTGACGAAAACGATCGAGGAAGTCCGGAAAGCTCGAGCTTGCAGGTGATCTTGAACAAGCTGACGGCGTCTACACCGGAAGTGGCCACGGTGAACGAAATTAAAGTGGAGGCGGATAGCGACGAGTACAACACAGAAGAAGAGGGAAGCCAAGGCGAAGTTTTTAAGAAGAAAACGGATGTTTCGCAGAGAAAACGCCCACGAATTTCAGAGGACGAGCCAATGGATTTAGCCGAACAGAGGACAAACCCCATGGACACCATGACTCACAATGGTACCCATAATTTGCTTGAAAAACGTCGAAACGATTGGATATATTGTTTCAAAGTCGAAATTCAATTTCGAAAGAGATAGATTCTTGGTAGAACGGTGTTTAGAGGAACAATAGTGGTCACGAAGGATCACTTGCACTAATTTGCTGCAATTTTGTCTGTTTTCGAGTAGAAGACGAAGTATCTTTGCAGAACATGAGGGAAAGAAACGATAGAGCTGATGAGGAACAAGACGAATCCGCTCAGAGGGCTATGTGGATGTTTGAGCTGGCTCAGAGAGAGCACGAATTGAAGCTGAGGATGTTGAACATCGAGTTGGAACGAGCTGAGCTGCAGAAACAGACAGCGATCAACGAATTGAAGACTTCGGAGATAAAAAAGCAGTTAATGGATAATCAGGCTGCTGAATATTACAGGTAAGATTTACTCTGTGAGTAAGAAATAAGAATAGAATTTGGTGTTAAATGCCAAGATATAAGTGCATCGATATAGCCACGAAGCATTGACATAACAGATAACCAAGTTTGAAAATATTTCATATTTTTAGAAAAGAAAAGAAATGATGTTTCAAAATCTGTATCTTTTTATGTGGGATTTAATATCAATGAAATATTTTTTCCAAATTTATTATACCGATAAAAATATTTGAGTTACCTTCTAGCACTGAAAAATTGTAAATACAATTTTTTTATCTCAGCTTTTACTACTTGCAACTTAGAAATGTAACAAATATATTAATTTAATTAATATATTATATATATTGCATATATTATTTAAATTAATATATTAATTTAAAAGATATAAAAAATATAAAAAGATTTTCAAAATAAAAATTGCAAAAATTGATCAGTATTTAAAAATTTGTTATGATCTTTGAAGATAATAATTTTTTTCTTATTGGATACAATATAAAAATTATAAATTACGACGAAATATGGGAATTCGATAACTTTATGGAAAAATTAAATTAATATTGCCGCCACGTCAGCGTCAGGACGGCCATCTCGCGGAAGTGCTACTGGAGTAACACGACGCGATATTTTCCTTCTAGTTACAGTGTATGCTTTTCATTGGGTTCCTCAATACGCACTTGCTGTAACTTTAGAATTTTTATATCCAGAACAATGCAACGAGCTATTCTAACAATTTCTCGAAATATGGCTTCGCTGAGGTATAAACGAAAGTTTTTCATGAAGATATTTAATACAATTAATATAAATTTCTTGTTTTACATAGTTTGATTCGACCCGGCTTTTGCACGATATTTGCACAGAACACAAAAGTAACAATCGTGGCATTTTATTTTTTCTTTATATCTCTGTTTACAATATGTGAAATGAAATACTGTTCTAGATGATTCAGATTAATATTGTGTTAAAGAATTGTGACAATTTCGTAGAATGTTAATAAATTTCACGTGCATGTACTTATGTAATAGTTCTAAAATTGAGAGTTATGGAACATTAAATATAGTATTTTTGTTTAATTGTTTTCTATTTAACTTTAACAGATTTAAGCTTAAAATGTACTAAATTTTCTATTAATATTCTATATATAGGTATTTATTGCATAGATGCTATAAATAAATATTGTGTATTTTTAACTATTGCTGCTGCGTCATAGTTTTCTTTTGGCAGAGTTAATCATTGAAAGAAACTAATTAAAGTACATTTGTTTGATCATTGTAGCCAAGTAAGAATGGTTGGTGAACGTGGATCTGGAGCTGGTAAAGGAGGTGGTGGTGGTGGATCTATTCGAGATGCTGGTGGATCCTTTGGAAAAATGGAAGCGGCTCATGAAGATCAGTATTTCTATAATCTGGTTAGTAATCTGTTTTTTTTTAGATTTTTATGATCTTAACCCCATTGTATTCCTAACCTAACTTCTAAATTATGTGACTAAATGTGGCATGTTATCAATTGTAGAGATTTAATCTGAAATGTTATATTTTGATCGTAGCAAAAAGAACAACTTCAAAAGCTTAAAGAGGATCTCCATGATGAGATTTCCTTTCACGAAGAACAAATCAAGCGTCACCAAGAAGCTATAAACCGTAACAAAAAAAGAATCACAGATATGACTCAGGAATAAAAAGATACACTTAACGATATATTTCTATTTTTTAAGCGTGATGTTATTCCTCCTAATGCTGTAACTGTTATATTACTATTAATAGTAATTATAGTAGTCATTTATGTATGTTCATACCTTTTTTTCAAGCTACAAAATATTATATACAAATATGATATAAAATTATATAAATAGAATAAAAAAAATGACAAATTATTTAATTTTTTGTACTTGTACAATACTAGAACTCATTTATACATCTTAAATGAACTAGTATCAATACAAATCGATTATTTCGATTATTTTGTGATAGCGTTTTTATTCAAATGTTTCACTGTCCATGACAGAAAGTTGCAAAATTTCTGTTCCGTTCAATTTCATGAGCGATTTTTTTTTTTCGTAAAATTCATGATATTAATAAATATCGAAAACAATGTTTCGGTGCATCGTACGAAGGTTGTCTGCTGAAGCAAATGGGTAAGTACAATTAGTTAATAGATTTCTCGTGCAACTACAACTATTTTGATCTTTTCTCGGTTATGTTAATTTTCTAAAATAATGTTACAATTTGCTTTTTGCAACAGTTCTAGGTATTTCACAAGATGGTACAGTGATTCCAATAAAAATAGGACTTCAAACGATGATATTGCATTTGAAGCTGAATATTATTACAAACAGGTAATATTTTCAATAACTTATACAGTTATAGAAACGAAAAATAACTATTGTTTATTTTTCAGGATAAAGAATTATTAGAAATGTTAAAGCAAAAAATGCAGGAAGAAGTGAAGTGCTTGCAAGATGAAGTTACAACGTTGCGTAATAAAATTGAAGAATATAATCGTACTATTAACGAAAATTTACGATTTCTGAAAGGTCTGGAGAAAGATTTAACAGCTAGTGATAAAAAATAGACAAAGCAGTTCATTATAATCTTTGTTATTAAGTAAAATTATGAAACATGTTACAATTGCGAAAAGGTTAATGTAACAAAAATTTTTATAATTTATAATTAAACTTTTATGATTAAACAATCTTCCGACGATAAATGCAGTAGTTATTCTTCCAATTTATATTTTAGAAATAGCATTTACATAAAATTAATATTTAAAAATGAAACTCACCATAATAGTATCCCCATTGCACTATTTTCCCGCCCATTATTCTTTCCGCATCGTTATCAATTTTTAAAATTCTTTGTTTTAACTTTGTTAAACAGAAAAGATAACAAAATATAATTATTTAGTTATATTGCACACTATTAATAACACCTCACTTTGATAGTCTATTTGTAAAAATAATGTTTATCAATTTCATTTTTAAATTACATTTTAAAACTTCCATTTTGAACAACTGTCATTTGCACCAACACTTATACACTTATATGATGTGTATAAGTGTATATGTAATAATACTTATTATTAATTTATATAAGAAATCATATAAATAATAATCAATAATTTATATCGCGTTGTATTAAATTATTATTTTATATATAATTATATTTACATTAACAAAACTATTTACAAGAGAATCGTTTAATAAATTCAAATTGTTCGCGCAGTATCCGAATCCTACTCAAGAATAGTGCCTATAGTGGCCACCGGGTGACGCTGACTTTCATTCAAGATGGTGGTGGCTCCGCGATGTAAGTGACCGATCGACGCGCCCTCAGTGTCTCGCGGTTCATCGATCAGTGTGGTGTGTGTCGCGTTGTTGCTCCGGTGGATTTTTTTGTGGTTTGTTCCTGCTTGGGACGTACGCGTATTTTTTTCGTTTGGTTTTCTTGAGTCGACGCGGTGATCACTCAAGGGGCTCTTGAACGGGCCCAGCGGCAAAAACAGAGGAAAGATGCAACCGAGGATATACTGGATTCTGATCAGTACGGCCGTCATTCTCGCGGGATGCAACGCCGCTACAGAGGTGAGTACGATTGCTTTCATAGCCTTCTTTCTCTCTTCTGTCACTCCTTTGACGATCGTTCGATCGCCTTTTTCGTCGTGTCGCGTTGTCGCTTGGCAAGTTTCACCTTGAAACGGTATCTCGTCCACGAATTCGTCGAACGCGCGTTTTAAGGAGTTTTCGAACACGCTGCGTGTTTCTCTTGTTTCGTCAGGCGTTTCTTCGAAATGCCTTCGGTTATAAAATTTCCATGCTGAAGCATCGTATACATCGTGTATCGATGCGTCGCATTCTCGCACGTATCCTTAGCTTCATGCACGTCCGAATCCTAAACAGCGGCCGCACGACGCGGTCGTTGTTTACGCTTCATTGCCAATTGCACGAATTTGTTTACTCGATATATCGTGGCGTGTTTGGAGCAGACAGGACACCTTCGTTCCGTTCTCGATACGATCGTCTTTTTCGAATTGATTCTCAGAAGACGCGGTACCTTACGAGGCATTTTTGCCTCGCGTAATTGCATAATATGGTAAATCACGGTAAATTACACGCCCCTACGTGGTGCGTGCCGCGAATCTATTATTTCGAAACTCTTACTCTATCACGGGAGCGAAGTATCTCGCTCCGATATCCGATGTTACGACAACATCGGAATTCTTATACAACCGTCGTACACCTGGCCGAACATTATGCGATGCTTCTTTTTTCTCGCGCCATACAACATCGTACCATCGCTGGACCGTTGTTTATGTTCGCTCGCTCGCTCGGTGGTCGGGATATCGGAGCACGCGGCTCAAAAACGTGAGACGCAGAATATTCTGTCCGGCGACGTTGACCAGTAATTCGAGACGTTGCCACCGCCAGACCCACGCGCATTTTTTGCCCGCTACTCGCGGAGTCTCTCAACTACAATTCGCGTGACCGTAGCGGCGGTGGCGACGGAAATAAACTGCCCTTCGATGAAGTATTTATCGACTGTTGAAAAGTGTCAAAAAGCATACGACTGACCTGCGTATGCACTTACCATTCGATCGATATTTATTATCGACCAAGTATCGTACTTTATATTTTCTTTCATTTTCTTTACATTTTCTTTCTTTCGTTTCTTTTTCTTTTAATGAATGGTAATTGCGAATGGCTCGAATGTCGAAATAAATGTAGGATCGGTGGAAAAATTGATGGCGGAAAATGCGTTAATTTATAAGTGCAGTCGATATTTATTATCGACCAAGTATCGTACTTTATATCTCCTTTCGTTTTCTTTACATTTTCTTTCTTTCGTTTCTTTTTCTTTTAATGAATGGTAATTGCGAATGGCTCGAGTTTTAGAATGAATGTAGCATCGATGGAAAAATTGATGGCGAAAAGTGCGTCGATTTATGACGGAAAAGGTTCGCGGAAATTAATCGAATTCGTTCTACTTAATTATCGTGTGTAAACAATAAAACCTCGGTTCTCGGTCATCATCGGAACGAAAGTTTTCAAGCTTTTTGCCTTCTAGCTCGTTCGGACCGCACGTATACACACGCGTATAATTCGCTGGAATTAATATCGGCCTTTATTTACGCAGCGTTACGTGTATTATTACTTAAAGGTATTACCGTGTTGACGGCAAACAGTGCGTTACCGACTGAAATCTCGGGGGTCCGGTAAATCCCCTGATATATTCGATTCGCGTGCATGGTCTATGGCTTTTTGAAGCGGAATTTTCAGAGCAAAGTGCTTCGAATTATTTTCATGGTATTAAACATAATTCATGCGATATCCGAGAGAGGAAAGTTTGGTATTATACGATACGCAGTTAGGTTAATCCGAACGGTTCTTGCGAACCGCCTTAAGCCTGTAAAAGCGAACGTTTACTCGATACAAGCGTGGGTTTTATATTTGCTCCGTGTTTGTTAATTCACCGAGCATTGTTTTATAACTTTCATGCGTATTCTGCGTACGTAGGCGGCCATTATCGTACAAGATAACTTTTTCATGAAAATAGCCCACTGCGTATATCGAAGTGCAGGTCGTTGAGCTTAAAGGTTGCGACCTTTTTCGTTTTACAATATTTCATATCAAATTCTCAACTTTCTACAGTTCTATTTTTTCAATTCAAAAAATATAAATAAATTTCTGCAATTTATAATACCAAATAAAATTAGTGGTATTATAAAATACGATATAAAATTTTTATTCTTTCTTTCCTAATATTTTCAATCCGCTTGATGCTTAAAATATTTATAGTAACAACAAAATTATGCGAATATCGTTGTTTTAATGTCCAATGAAAATGGTCCTTAAAATTTTCGTTTTCAAATTTTAATGGAAATGGCCTTTGAAATTTTCATTTTTTAGTTGTACAAAAATAGGTAAAGTGTATATATCAGAAGTATTCTTACGTCTCGGGTCTTTTATATCAACTGCAAGCCCGTTTCACGTGGAAGAGAAACAGAAATCGAACCGGAAGGTTGGAAACGGTCGCGGAAGAACGATGCCTCTGCAGTTCCGTTGGTTCGCCATTTCGCAAGGCCGTAACCTGTAGCACTTGTACGCTCGCTGTTCGACAAGATCCACTCGAACTTGGTCCACAACGTAATCCCATCGATGGCCCGTGTTGCTACATCGAGAACCAACGAATCAGATTTTCACGAGCCACCGTTATTTCATGGCAAACTTTGCACTGTCCGGTTCGTCTCCTTCTCTCTTTACTCTCTCGCACAAGTTTCGCAATAGCCACATATTGGTCGTTTGTAGTCTTTTCCGTGATCCTTATCTGTGATCCTGGTTACCTATCTTTGGGACAATCGAGGGATTGTGTTTTGGGTTAGGTTAGGTTCTTTGAAATTTGTACTTCCGAGTGATTTATGGTGGACGTGTATTTCGTCAATTGGGATGAAATTATCGTCGTGGTCGTGATCGTCGTGGTGAAATTATGAGAATGTAGAATGAGGTATGAGATGAGTTCAGTGTGTAGAAATTGAGGTTAGAAATGGTTGCTTTATGGGGAACTCGATTTTTATTTTTGGGGATGGTCAGTATTCGTGTATGTATTCTTTTGTAGTGTAAATGTGATTATGAACGATAGTAATGTTTGTAGGATGGGAATTGTTTAGAGGTGGAGTGTTTTCTAGACAATGGGTTGTGTTTGTCAGGCCCAATGGGTCTGTTTGGACGGTAAATTTGTTCGCTTATCGCGATATCTCTTTGCCCAAACAGACCTCGTATTGATAACGCGTTAACGTAGGTAATTCGAAGTTCCAAGTTACTTTTGTATTCATCAACCACTGATATTCTTTTCTCAGGGACGTTTTACTCCGATACCTAAAGGCTCGTAAATTTCGCCAGGTATTTCACAAGACAAACACGTAACGTCAATTGAACGCAACACTTTAATAATTCATTGACCACCTCAGATGATAGTAATAGTATAGATACATAGCACACATCCAGTTTGCGCTACATGTATTCGACTGTACCATCAATCTCCACGGGAACAACCTACCAGAAGTTCCTTCCTGCACTCAGAATTGTTACAAATTTAGCAGTGTGCGCAAACTATAACATTGATTCATGAATTTTGCATCGATTGCATTCAGTGATGATTAAATACCTTCGTTTCGAACCTCAAACCTCTTTGAATCTAACATAAATCGTTCCAAAACTAATTCAAATGACAAATTTTGTGTCTTGTATAAGATATGACATTTTGCTATACGAATCTTCTAGCAGCTCAACCCATAGGTGACTAGAATCCTTGTTTTCACACCTCAAACTTTGCTAAAATCTAACCCAAACCACCCCAAACGTAATTCAAACATCAAATTTTATGTTGCGTACAAAATATAACATCTTGCTGCATGAATTCTCGAACAACTATGTTTGAAGTCAACTAAAACCTTGGTTTTCAAACCTCAAATCTTGCTAAGCCTAACCCAAACTCTCTCAAAGTATCACAAACCTACCCAAACTCAATTCAAACTTCGAAATTTGTGTCATGTACAAGATATACTATCTTATTCCTCGAAAGTTGCATCAGGTCAACTCAAAAGTGACTAGAATCCTCGTTTTCACGTCTCAAACCTTCCTAAGCTTGACCCAAAGTCTTCCAAATCATCTCAAACCTATCCAAATCTAACTAAAACCTCAAATAATAGGTGTTATGTATATGATATAATATCTTATTCCATGAATGTTCCATCAACTGAACCCAAAGCTGATTGGAACTCTCGTTTTCACATCTTAACCTTCCCAAACCTAACTCAAACCGTCTCAAACTATCTCAAACTAATACTTACCCTACTTCTTCTCATTGACAAACCACCAATCACCCAATCTTCCACCTGAAAAACCTTCAATCCATCGCGATCGCTCCACTCTCGCCAATCGGCCTGTTCAAACATCAGCAAACGCCCGGCATCAGGTCGTTGATCGATGATCGAGCGTCTAATGTAATTAGGGAACATTGTGCGGGCGGGACGTGACGGCAAGAAGCCCTAAGAGCCCTCGCGTCGGCCATTTTCCATTGTCCTTGCCAGGTATTGTCCTGCCGCGTCGGTATTCCAGGCGCGGAGATCGGCTGACGCGGAACAGTCCCTAAGAATCGGCTGAAAGCCTGCCTGGGGGACACAATGACCCGGTTCCTCCGTTTCTGGGCGATCCGCGAAATTCGTGACTCATGTCTGCCGGGGAACAGCCGAGGGTCAGGCCTCTGGCTGTTCTTAGGGGAACAGAGCTCGTTAGGGGTCTGCGAAAGCCACATGGCGGCGTTTGCACGTCGCCATACCTACCCTAACTTGCGTTCCCTGCATGATATCCTAGCGACTGTTAGGGATCAGCCTGATGAACCGTGTATTCACGCCTGGTCGTGCGTCTGGGGTAGTTGGGATGTTTTCTTCTCGGTGTTCCTCCTTTGTTCTCCTATATTACACGGTGTATTCGAGTGGCCAGGAAGGGGGAATCAATTCGTTGGAATTAATCGTTTCTACGAACGATATCTCTGCTGATGGCGACGCTATGTTGTGTATTCGATGGTC